ATTTACTAAACAATTTTTTACTATGCAAGTACTTTTATAAAAAATTTTAGCAAATATTTTTAACTTCTCAAAAACAGCACTTCCACAACAGTTCCCTTTAACAAAACTTTTATTAAAAACTCCAATTACACCAAACAGACTTTATACTTCCCATAAGCTTTTCGCACACCAGGCTAGTAATATATTTACGAACTATTAAGTATTTTAATAATAATTTGTTTTTAATAATAAAAAAAATTATATCAATGATTTAAATAATTTAATGATAATTTTTTTAAAAAATAAAAATTTTTAAATTTAAGTAATATGTTGATATGTAAATAAAATGAGATAAAAAATAAAAAAAAATTATCTCTAGTTGTATATCTAATATAAAAATAATAATAATAATAAATTTTAAATTTAAATTATAAATAAATTAAATAAAAAAATAAAAAAACTTGTCTCTAAAGTCGAACCATTCAAGTTAAGATTAAAAATAAAATAAAATAATAAAAAACTACCAATATACTTGACGAGGTCACCGTCACAAAAGCTGCATCTAGTGCTAGACCGCTAGTACTACCACAATACTGGTCAATACTGTGGGCCTGGAGGAAAATGGTAGGAAGGTGAACAGAAGACGGGAAATGTGGGCTACTGGGGTGGGAGGAAAAAGAAAGGGGCAAAAGTCTAAGAATAGCCCCTTACCTTAATAAGTTGGACGGTTTTGGCCCCTCACCTTATAATATAACGGTTTTAGCCCCTAACCTATAAGAAAGGAAGAAAATAGCCGCCCTTTTTGGTAACTTCCGTTCATTGGGCTGTTACCGTCCGTCACTTCCGTCCCTTCCTCCATTATCTTTCCGTTAACTTTCTCAAAGTTTCTCCAAGAAGCCTGCTGCATTTTTTTTGGGAATTCAAACTTTTTTTTTTAGAATTCTAACATTTTTTTTACCTTTATTTTTAAAGATAGCTGAATATGTATTACTTGTATATAATTTTTACATATTATTAAATAAATAGATATAATTAATATTATAGATCTCAAATAAATATAAACAATAAATAAAATATATAATACAA